GAAAAGCAGATCTCTTCAGAATTGGGGGAAAGTAGCTGATATTTTCCCTAACAAAGGTCAATCTTTCCTCAACTGAGCCTGTCATCTTTTTTTGCATCTATGATAACGTACATTTGGAATATAAAAGGTATGTTATCAAAGAAATTTCCTTTTGTTCCAGATCCCTCAAAGCATAAGCAATGCACCGGAGCAGAGACCACAAATCCCCTCACGGTTAATGTTATCATGCTAATTGTTGGCTGTTAGGATCCTATACCCACCTGGGTAGAAGTATATGCAGCCCGGCGGGCGTGGCTCAGCTGTTGGCATTGACCTAGGATCCAGGAGGTCACAGTTCGATTCCTGGTCCGGGCACATGCCTGGGTTGTGGGCTCCATCCCGAGTGGGGGGCGTGCAGGAGGCAGCCGATCAATGACTCTCTCATCATTGATGTTTCTATCCCTCTCTCTTCCTCTTCCTTCCTCTAAGGAAAAACAGAAAATTAATATTTTTCCTCCCACCTTGTAAGTTCTTCTGGCTGGGCTAATCGTCAAGTTAAAGGAGGAAATGAAGTTCTTAACCCATGGCATGGGGAATTCACATAGGCATGAAAATTCCACAGACCGTGAGGCACCCTTGGGTGTCTAAGACATTCTGGACAGAGGAGGAAGCAGGGGATGGGGTCTTAGCGTTCAGGAGTGAGAGTGGGCGAGTTCAGGTCGTTGAGGAAGAGGGGAACACACAGGGCAGGACAGTCCTTGCTAGGTGACTCAGAAACAGTGGGACACGCGCCATCTAGCTAGCTGGCCCCTGCCTGAAGCCCTCTTGTTTACCGTTCTTAATTCAAATTAGACCAAGGGAACATCCTAAGATCTTCCTGAGGCAGGTTTCTCTGGCTGAATCGAAGGAAAGGGAGGAGGGTGAAAGGTTCTGAGTCTTGCTTCTTAATAAACAGCTTAAAATCAATATCCCAGAAAAGCAGCTTCAGGATGGCAAGACTTCGGTCCCTTCATCTCCCTTCGCTGGCTGTCCGGCTCCTGCTCTCCACTCGAGAGAGAGCCAGTGGCTGGGACTCCGGCTCCTCCTGCAGGGCCAGGGGGCTGGCTTCTGTGGGCGGGTCAGGAGCAAGGGCGCAGGCTCCCCTAAACCACGGGGCACAGGAGAATCATTTCTTTTTCTCCTGCGCAATGGAAAAAGCCCTCCAGCCCTGCAGAGGCCTGTTTCTTGTTTTGTTACTCTGGGTTGTTTTTCTCTCTCCTAAGGGGGTGAGGGTAACTCCATCTTGGGTCCCGAGAGGCAGGTGTGCCCCCAGCACACTTGTGCCCTCCGCTCGGCCCTGGGCAGAGAAGCCGGCTGGGCTGACTCGCTGGGAAGCTAGAGCACAGGATTTCTTTGGTTGCCCAGAGAAGGCTCCAGCTTCCAGGGTCAGGGGCGTGAGGTTCCCATGAGGTGTAATCCAGGAGCACTTGGCCTTGATGTGGACAAGTCACTTCTCATACCTGGGTATCAGTCCTTTCCACCCAAAAGTGAGGGCATTGAACTCAGTTGTTCCTTAGGTTCCTCCCAGCTCCGAAACCAAATAGCATGAGAGTCTGGTGAGCTGGTATTAGAATCATATAGGTCTCCGTTTGAATTCTGTCTCTGCCATTTCTGGCCGCATGACCTTGGCGAAGTTACTTAACCACTCTAAGGCTAAATTTAAAATGGGGACAATAAAACCTCTTGCAGGGTTGTTGTGAGGATTAGATATTATGTATAAAGCATTTGGTACTGTATGAATCTATAAATGGATGGATGCTATTCTTATAAATAGCTTCAAAAAATGGAAAATGGCTAACCTAGAGAGACCATGAAACAAGGAAACCCACCCTTTGATCACACAATGTCAAGGAACTAGACAACTGAATATTTTACAGTGACTACAAATTCAAGCGTATGTGCGATCTTTTCTGACTTGGTTAAACCAGGCAGCCTTGCAGCTGAGATAATTGTGCTCATGTACTGTGATGGAGCGCCCTCCAGTGGCTGTAGATATTAACATTTTCATTAAGGTGGTTGAAGAACAATGAAGCTTTGTGGATTTAGAAGCAAGCAGCGAGGATTTGGAAGTTTGTTAATCTTAGATAAAGCTAATAAAGCTAATCTTAGATAAAGATAGTAAAGTGCCATTAATTATATCACTTCCAATAGTAATTCTTTAGTCAATTTTTGCATAAAATCATGTTCTGGGCATTTATCAGATCTTGCCATTCTAAAAGACAAAATTACATTTTAAATTAAAACATAAATTATATTGAACATTTGAATTGCACATAAAATCTTCAGAGTAGTTCTTTATGCCATGAAACTGGAAATAATTTGGAATCATTCAAAAGGGTGGTGCAATAGCAGAACTGGGGGTTTTCTAGCGGTTACCTTGCTACGAACTTGGCTGTGTAACTTTGGGCAAGTTACTTATTTCTGTGGGCCTCAGTTTCCTCATATTAGAATATAGGACTCTAAGCCTGAACATTTCCAAGGTCCTTTCCAGCTCTAAGATTCTCTGATTTGAGGAGGGTAAATGATCCTTTTATACACACGCACGCACATATATATACACATATATAATGTATATATATACATATACATGTATATATAGGGGCTCTGCTTTTAAAGAAACTTGATGTCAATTTTTTAAATGAACTTGGAGTCTCAAGCACAGAAGTTTAAGGTCCATTTGAAGATGAGTTCCTAACATTTTACAAAACGCAGCCTGGCCAGCTGCAACAGAGCAGGCTAGGCACTAACAAAGGTTCTTGTTTCCCCTCCATAGTGAAGAGCTTTGCCGAGAAGCAGCTGCACAATCAGGACTCCATTTAACAGCCCCTTGGCATCTGGGTGGATCCTTACTAGTTCTTGCCAAAGGACTGTGAGCAAAAGCGATGTGGGTACTACTACTTCCAAGCCAAGGTACTTAAATATCAAGTGTGTGATCATCCATCCTTTCTCCTTCACCTTGTCCTCAAATGGATGACGCAAGATGGCCGAGCCACCTGTGCAAGAACCTGGGTATCTGAGCTACCTATTATAGACTATCCGCCCAGGAGAGCCACCCGATCAGAACACCTGCAGTGGACTTTGTGTGAAGGAGCTTTTAGTGTTAAGGCACTGAAAATTAGGGGTGGTTTGTTATAGCAGCTTGCTTTAATTATCCTAACATACTCTCCAACTCCACAATGCTGGACTCCAATCTGAGGCATTGCATAAAAGCAAACTGATCTCATAAAAGCAAATTTCTCTTTCTCCCCGGAGGGTGGGGTGGGGGTAAGATTAGTCTACTTATTATGTCTTGTGATTAAGAGTTGTTGTTCTGAAAAGGTCTCATCAAAATTTTGTTTCAACTATTACACTTTGTTACATAAACAGAGTCTGATGTAGACAATCTCTGGCTAGCAATAGGTATAGATGCCACAATTACTGCTGAGCATGTTTATCAGGTATTTGGGAGCCATAGAAAGCTCAACAATCACTGAAGTAGATAAGCAGTTTACTGCTTTCTGAAACTTTCCAATTCTTCTACATTTTGAGATGACCTTGTTAATGGGGAGGAAGTGGGAGAGAAATCAGTGGTTATATTCAGTAACAGGTATTAGTTATTAATTGATAAGAAGTTTTTGATTGCAGGAAAAATATGGAAGACAAAACAAGTTTTTTATTTAGCCACATCTTTGCAGATACTGACAATATTCTATTTAAGTTAGCATTCTATGGGAAGATAACTGAGAATCAGTGATGTAGAAACACATCAGCAACACTAAGCAAAACCCATTACAATACAAATAGGACTGTGAGACAATGCAGGTCTGGAGCCACAGGCTGAGTGTGTGATGCTAGCTTCAATCAGAAAATTATAGCAAATGCTTAATTAGTGAGAACCCGTAACAGCTGTACAGAGGAACAAACTTCCAATGAAATAAATGCCTTGTGGAATTAGAACTCTTAGGACTTTATTGTACTTTGCCACCTAAATTATCATTTAGGAACTTGAGTTCAAATTAGTTCTGTAAGCAAGATGTACACGGCTGTGTAACTATGAGGAAAATTAGCTTATATTGAAAACTTTTCTGCAGATACTAACAAAATTTAAAGGGTACATAGATCTTGATCTAGCAACTAAGCTTCTAGAAATCTATTCAGAGAAATATTAGCAGTGTGCAAAAAAAGGTCCATTTCGCATAGAAAAATAAGAACCTAAAGTTCATCAATTAAAAATTGATCAGTTACGCAAATCTGTTCTACAGAATGTGCCAGGTACCCCTTGCCAATAGATGTGTATGCGCAGCTGTAGAGGGAAGTCCTCAATGAAAGGAGATATATATATATATATATATATGTGTATATATGTAATGACCCTGTTGTTCAGTTGTTCAGTGTTGTTTTTTAAATTGATGTTTGTATATGCTAAAAGACTAAAAAGGTAAAGACTAGAGTTAATTTTAATTTTAAGGTGAGATTTTTCTTACTTTACACTTAACTGTATCTTTAGTTGACTGAATGTGAATTACCTTCATAATTAGTATCTTCACACTCTAACCTCTGGCCCAAAACTGTATTTCTCACTCCTTACATTCATGCCCCCAGGCTAAAGGCACTTTTTTCTGGAACATCTTCCCCCAAACGTCATCTACCCAACCCTGCCAGGCTATTTGAAGGTGCTTTCTTCCAAGAAATAAGTATCAATGCTCACATTTTAGAGTCATTTCTCATTTGTCTAAACACCTATTACCAGTGAAGTCTTTTACAGGCATTTATCATCAATTCCAGTTTCTATCTTAGGGTTTATCCATGTCAGGTTTTATGTGCTTCCACTTACTAGGTAATAGGCTTCTTGTGAGAAGAAACCAAGATTTATTCATCTTTGTGTCCCCTACAATGTTCCACATAAAAGATGCTCAACCAAAGTATGCTAAATTAATGGGACATTTTTTGCCATTAATGTGTATGCTGCTAATAATTTAGAAAGAGACAAAATGATTCACCACTTTATTTTCAAAACTTTATTTATATAGAATCTTCAGAACATTTCCCTTTCATTTTTACCGCAAGATAAAATCCCACTGTTTAAAACCAGATATTTTATGTCACAGTTAAGCACTGGGAGGAGTTCAATCATTTTGAGAAAAAGCTTTCGTAATTGTATAAACATTAATATTTACAATATCCTTTAATATATATAGACAACATGGCATCATATTTAAATGTATAAAATAGCTTAAATTGTATTTTGTTACAGAACATTCCAAAATTCAAGCTACTAAAAGAAATCCATAAACAATGATAATATTTGGGGAAAACAGCAACAGGTTTATGTAAGCTTATACATAATACACGATTTACATGTCAAATTCACAAATTTAAAGATATATGACTAATCTACTTAAATCATGCTAGACTCTAACTAAATACTATTTTACAATTCATAGGCTGAAACAAGTGTTCTTTTGTACCCTATGGAACAGGAATACAAACTATGAAATCATATTGAATATCCTTCTTAATTCCTAAGAGACTACTTTAGGAATCCTCAAAGATAGCAAGTCAGGCATTTTCCCCTAAAATTAAAGTCCTTATGAATATATTCATAAGTACATTCAAGAGAAAATAAAAATAAGATGTCATAAGTTAAATAGGGGGAGACCATATTTATTCTGTCTTGTTCCAGAAAGGACTTAAGATAACTTAAAAGATTCGGAAAATACCAGAAAGCACAAATTACAGGTTAAACAAATAAAAAAACTCAGAGTCTGGGGAAACAGCACACACAAAACCACTTAAGGGAAGGTCAGGGATTAAGTATGTTACATTCTTCTCCATAGCGATTTTCTGGAAATATCGCAAAGTCTGGCATTAATTTATAGGAAAATTATTGAACTACTGGTAAACCAGAAATGCAGATCAGATTTGTTCAGTTTGAACGACCCTGATGGAGCAGATGGTGATAAAAATGTGCTTTTTCTTTGTGCTTCAGTGAGGTTAGGTTTTTCCTAACGGCCATAATGTGACTCTAGATTTAGTCTCTAGCTATCAGTAAAGTGTACACCCCTCCCCCCCCCACGCACAAAATTTGGTATCCTGACTTAATTTCCACTGAGAAATCCACCAACTGGAATCTGCTGATGACTCGAAGATAGGGAGCCACACCTCGTGTGTTCAGGTGTCATATGGCTCTTATTTAGGTGCAGGGCAAAGCATCACGCCCAGGGCATCCTGACTGTATCAGTTCCTCCAGCTCACCGTGTTAGGACCCAGCAAGATACACAAGCAGGTAAGCTGAAGAGCAGGGGGCCTGCCCAATCAGGTCAGCACGTTGAGGCCACAGTCCTGTGCTGCCCAGAGCTGCAGAGGTTCTGACCCCGCTTGAGTCTGCACGTCACAGACCCTACCCCACTCCTGTGGGGGAGAAAAGTGAGAGAGAAGCCTGGGGCAGCATTAATCAGCTTCTGGGAAATAAGAATGGTCTGTTCATCTCTATTCTTCAGGCCCTGCTTTCAACAAACGACAGAATGGACGATCTCACGCCTCTATGCTGACAGGTCACAAGCAGAGGGAGGGGATGAAGACAAGGCTTGAGGGAAATGAGGGAGGAAAGTCGGTAGGATATGCGGTAGGATATGAGTTTCAAAACTACAGACCAAGGATCAGAGCAAAATATCTACCCGAAGACTCAAACTGACTGCTGCCACCTATCTTTTTTTTTTTTTTGAGGATGAATGGTCCCAGCAATACTCCTGAGTTTTAAGAACTAAGTTCAATCTATAATTCTAAAGCCGTGGGAACGGCAATGTGTTCTTAGCTGGGTGGCCAAGCTACTGTATGGTTTGTGAGGTGGGTTTTACAGGGGAGGGACAGCGACTGACATTTTTCTAAGGACAGCCTTAGGGCCAACTTATCTATTAGGCACCATGCCTCAGGCCCACAATACTTTTAGAAGCCCATGAAAATGTTTTAATTTCCTTTAAATTCAGAAGGAAAAAAAACTTAAATTGAAGGACATGTCTATATATAACGTTAAATTCATTTTATACAAATGCAATTATAACGCATTAATTTTTAATGTAAAAAGAGGTTCAAGAAGACAGAAGTGTCAAAGGCCCACGAAAGTCATAATGCAGCTCTGAATATGGGGCCAATGAGCCGCGCTGGAATAATGGAGAGGGAAGGCGAGTCTGACCTTGCTGATCTTATCCCACTGATTTTTCTTTTTTTCAGTGTAAGTTGGGATTGGGTTTTTCAAGAGAGCTAAGTCTAACAGTGACGAAATACTAGTGTCAATTTCTACCAGCCAAGCTAGAAGAAGAAAAACAATTAAATTCATTATTTTATTATTTGTGCAATAGTAAGAACCAAATCAGGCTGAAGAGACTTGGATGCTCCAAGTCCTATCTTCAATACTGTGACATTACTCGAGGAGGCTTCCCTTGGAGACCCTGCCTCCTGAACTTCCTATACTACACTACCATTGGTTCCAGACTTCCTGTTTCTCCAAGGACCTGCCTGCTTCAACTATCCTCATAGCCCAAGGCTGGCAGGGATAGGAATGTGGGCACCTGCAAAAATATTTTAAGAATATGCTAAGAAAAAAAAAGGAAGCAGGGAGGATGAATGAGGGAGGAGCGGAGGAAATATCACAGCTTTTAATGTTCTAAAATTACACTATCCAAAAGAAAAAAATAGGGAAGGATTTATATTAAAATGTTAACTATGGTTTTCTAGATAGTAGGATTGAGATTTTTTTAATGCTTGTTTTTAAAAAATATTTTATTTAAAAAATTGTGCTCTCAAAGCTCTGAACACTGAGACTACACCTTTGAGTCCTTGTAGTGTGGCATAGTAAATACAGTCACCCACTGGTGTGCAGAGGACCCAGATTGGAGAACAGAACTTCTAACAATCTCCACTATTTTCCATCACCCAAATTTATCAATAGGATCCGTTCCCAATGTACAATGGGGAAAATATGTCCAAAGGAAGAGCACAAAGAAATGAATTACACCTTTTACAGAATTGTACATTTTTCTGCACCTGGAAAGAAATATTAAATCATAAAATTTAGACCCTTGGATTCCAGGTGAAGAGCTTGAGGTCCAGACAGGCTGTATGATTTTATCATTGTCACACAGCAAAGCTGGTAACAGAATTAGGGTAAGAACTCTCGGGTTTCCTTATTTTTGGTCTAGAGCTCTTACACTCCGTTCCCCAAAGTAAATTGCTTTTTAAGTTATGTTTCATTATTTATCCTAAATGCATAGAGAAAATTGGAAATAGTACCAGTTTTCTTTAAAAACATTTGCTCATTTGGGCACTGTACCATCCATCTCAAACTATAGAGTTCCAGCTGAGTAGTCCAACAATTAGAATGAAGCATAAGATTTCAGACCTGGAAGGATGCTAGGAAGGTAACTTAGACCTTAGATACACAGGAATTTAGGCCCAAAGAAGTTAAGCTTATCCACCAAAATCACAAGGTTAAGACCCAAGCCATCTAAAAGGGTTCACTGCTCCTCCCAATACTGCCTTATTCTTCCTTGGCTATAAATTATATCCAAAAAGGTAAAAATAAAGGATCACACTCAGATTAGATGTAATAAACCTGTTATTAATAAGATGCTTGGAGAATGGCTATAAATTAATTTGATGGTCAATAGAAATAAACTACAATCTATTAGGATAAATCAGGCAGCATGATTAAATTTTATTTGAAAATGTATCTGAATGTAAATCACAATTTTGAGTTTTGTTTGAAAATGATGCAACATCTTTCAGTGTCTCAGGTTCATGCATCTGAAAAGAAATTCTAATTATCTGCAATTCTCTAGAGCAGGGGTTGGAAGGTAATGGCCAGCAATGATTTTGTGAGGCTTATGAGCTAAGAATGGTTTTACATTTTTCAAGGGTTGTAAAAAAATATAAAACACGTCTGATAGACAGTATGTGTCTTGCAAAGCCTAAGTTATGGACTAACTGCCTCTTTACATAAAAAGTTTGCTGACTTCAGTTGTAGATTCAGAAAGTATATGAAACTGGGCGGCACATGTACTATGTGCTGGAAGGCTTTTTTGTTTTTAAAATTAAATCTCTGACTTACTTAAGCTTTATTGTAATTTGCTTCTTTCTACTGAGAGCAGGCAGTAGAAAAAGAATCTAGTTTGAGGTTTCTGATGATCTGTGTTGCAGTTAAATGAAGTTTCATCACATACATACTAATGTAAGTGGACAGAGTTAAAGTTAATTATTTTATATATCAGAAATCCATACAAAATGTTTCAGATAGCTGAGAAAATGGCATATCCTGTAGTTTTGTTGTTATAAAATAAAATGGAAGCAAATATCTATAATTAAAAAACTGATTTGACTCTCCTTTGAGTCTCTTCTCTATTGTTAAGACTTTCTCCTTATGCCTCCCCCTGGCCTCACATAGTATGTTGTTAGATTTACTAAACCAGTAGTTTTCAACCACATTAATTCCTCCGTGACCAACCATCCATATTTCATTTGCAACCATAAACAAATCGCACACCAAAACACATGGTAAGGGTGGAAGTGTTCCTAATGAGACATGAGATACCAAAAATGGAATGACTAGTTCGGGGGGAAATAAAAATTAGACACATTCCGCTTATCAACCTGAATACAACGGAAAAGCAGACAGCCCTCAGTCTGCTGCTCTGCTTGCTGGCGACCACTCTCAGGAGGGAGCACTGTGGCAGACCCCAGTTTACACACTCACTGTATGAAAACAAGTCCTTATCTCTTTTAGTCACATGATTTATGTAGCAAATTTTGTATTTTGTAAACGAGAGAAAAAATATCAAAGCTGTGCCACTGTTAAGTAAATTACAATAATTTCAAGGTTATAAATGACAGTAGGATCTACTGGGTCAAGATTAAAATGTCTTAGTTTAAAATCATTACATTAACAATTCCTTTGGACCCACAGTACAGTTCTCTTCAGCTACTCCATTCCCCTGCTTGCTTTTATAACTGGAAAGAAATAAGTTTTCTATTTGAGTCAAGAATTCTTCAGCAATGAAGCGATTTGTCACTTTGCTCAGAGTTTTCCTCAGACACTCCAAGAGCTAGTTGAAAAAGAAAAGTTTTATATTTAAATTCACGAAAAGTACAAGAAGATTTATATTACTATCCTTATTTAATAATAAATCTCACATTTTCCAATGAAAACATTCTTCTTAAATATGGTTGCAGATAAACTTGTGTGCAATACTTGTATAGCTAGAGTTCAGGAAGCCACTGCTGACTGCTTAGGTTAGTTCCTTTCTGATTTTTATAAGGAAACAGACCTGAGACTGTATGTGCGCGTGTGACATGCTTTTTCTTTTGGACAAATTTGTGACTGTGCTCTCATTTAAAAAAAATTTTTTTCGTCCTCACCCAAGGATATGTTTTTATGGACATTTAGAGAGGAAGGGGGGGAGAGAGAGAGAGAAATGTCGATGTGAGAGAGAAACTGCATGGCCTGCCTCCCATATGCACCCTAGCTGGGGCGCGAACCCACAGCCTAGGTATGAGCCCTGACCTGGAATGGAACCCACAGCCTTTTGGTGCATGGGACAAAGCGCCAACCAACTGAGCCACCCGGCCAGGGCCTGTGCTCTTTTTTTGAGTAGCTACATTTACAAAGCAAAAAATCCCATTAAAAAAAAAAAAAATCTATGTACATACAAAGGACTCTATCATTTCAAAATTAGGATGCTAGAGTCTACTTCCTGGGAAATGTGCATATTAATCTTCCAACAAAGCAAGGATAAAGTGGCTATAATAGAAGGAGGTAAAAACATTAAAAAAGAAACTTAGCATCTTTACATTTTCTATTTCCAAACTGCTACAAAGAGAGAGAGAGAGAGAGACATTGCCAGTCTACTGGTCTTAACTCATTACACTCATAAACAGAACTAGAAGTGAAATAAAAGAATTCAAGACTCTTATTTCCTACTGGAAAGTTAAGTAAGATGACCATTTAAACTTAATTGCTAGATTTATAATACCATTCTTAAAAATGATCAATTGTTAAAGCTAAATGGAAACATGGTGCTCTTGAATTTAATAAAATGAGAAAAATGTTCTCCATTGTGTACAATAATAGCCTGCTAAGAAATTTATCAGCCAACATGGACAAATTTATTTTAAAATAGTATTGTTTCTATATGCAAGTGTGGGCAACAAAACATATTACTAATTATCTCCTAGAAATTAATTTTAAAAAGAAAAAAAAGCACTAAAAGAAACAGAAAATGTATCCACAAAGCACTAGGCATCATGGGAAAACACTGAGATAAATAGCTTTAGAAACTGTGAACAAAGGAACCAATTAAAATGAAGGCAGCTTACTTTCTGCAAACAAGTCAGGTCAGAATCCCGGCGAAAGATTTTATCCATAGGGACACTGCTGTTGGAAGAAACAGGAAAACACACTGATGAAACAAGTACTATAAACTAATCAGTTCTGCAATAAACTATCCCTGATGCCATACATCACAATTTTATATGTAACTTGGGTTTTCTCTAAAACATAATTTAATGAGAAAGGCTGCAGATGTGCAACCATCTCAAACCACAGCACATACCTATGGGAGAGCCTGTATTTTTCTATGATCCATCTTGTCTTTTCAAACACTAATCCCCACTGAGGTTCTTCTAACATCTGTTGTACTTCGAATTTGTAAGGTACACCTAGAAAAGCATAAAGAAGTATATTTCAATCAACTATTTCTTAAATCTCTAATCTCCTTTTAATTACTTAAAATTTCCTTCACTGTTTTCACAACCATAGCATGGCAGACCAGCTGAACAGACTTTAACATAGTGGGCAGTCATTAAAAATATTTACTGCCTGGCTGAACTTGGTCCACCAAGCATATTAACGCCAAGCAATCAATATTAATAAAGAAAAGTATAAGTGCCATTTACATGACAATTCTATGCAAGGAGCTATGAGGTAAAATGATCACATAATTTATTATCCAAACTAAGAGACTTTTTGAGTGAAAGGGGTCATTATTAATAACTGAACCAGAACAACAGGCTTAAACCGAGACTGACCTAAGCAAACCAACACACATTCCATTCTAGTGATTGTTTTTTTTAAACACGGGTTATATTAAGGTTTTCAACAAAGTTATAAAGTAGATAGCGTTATTACTATTTAACAGGTAAGAAAATTGAGGCTGAGACAGGTTATACAATCTGTTTAGACTAATAAAATAGAAGAGGTTGAATTTTAAACCTTAGCACATTTGCCTGACTTCTGAGCCCACACTCACCCCACCTCCCTATAGGTGCTAACCTAAGACTAGACAGGGAATAGGATTAATTCTGGAGAGGCAGCACCTACACTTCAGTCAAACCTGTCATGCTAACTCTAGAGGAAAAGAGCCCAAGGGGTAGGCATCACGTACACTGCTAGAAAGAAAAACACGGAAGTATGAGCCTATTCCCCATGTAACTCTACATATTTATAGTGTATTAAAGGAAAAGCTCAGGTGATTTATTACTGTGGTGAATACTATAATAATAACCCTTATATAATGCTTACTATGTGCTAAGTTTAAAGTGCTTTATATATGTAAGGCTAGTTAAATGGAATAAGCTCTCAAAATTGTCATTTGTTTTCTTTTTTTGATGAGGATACTGAGCCACAAAGAGGTTGAATAACCTGTTCACGGGCATATATAGCTAGTAGGAGGTGGAGCCAGGACCTGAGCCCAGGCATTCTGGCCTGAGCTTATGTTCTTAACCTTTCCATTACATTGCCTCTCAACTGGGTTTTTGCCATCATAAGGCTTTTCAAGTAATCAAAAGCCAGCAAATCAGAAGGTGTCCATACTTCCTCACAATAAAACAGTTTGTCAATATGCTCTGAAAACACTCTCCCCTCCACCCCTTTTTTTTCCAAGTGTATGGAAGGAGGGACGGGAACAGCAGGCCTGATGCTAATTGATCTTTTTTTTTTCATTTCTCAATTCTCCTCCATTTCATTTCTCACCTCCAAAAACTTAAGAGTGACACATTATACCTATTAAGCAAACTCCTTTTGGTGATAATCCTTTGATATGCATTGATTACCTACTAAGAGCAGACAGTAGTTAAAATCATAACTACCTATTGAATACCCTAGCATTTGCTAAGCACTTTACACACATTATTGACAATCTTTACAACCCCCTATAAGCATAATTTTTTCTCATTTTACAGATGTGGCAGAAGAGGAGGAGAGAGGTAAAGTAATCTAACTGAAGTAAAATAACCAATAAATGCCAGAGCTGGAATCTAAATCCAGGTGAAAAACTCCTAATGAAAGTCAAAAATGAGAGTAAGAGAGAGAAATAAATGCATTTTCAGTCTGTGCTGATGGAAAACAATGAGAACACACACACATACACAATATACAGTTCTATTTGGTATTAAGGTTTTTTTCTAAGTTAAAAAAATGGCACTAAAACCAATAAAAAATTTCCTTTGGTGATGAATATTTTTATCCATTAAAAAATCAGAAGAAAACTAATCACTAAGTATATTCCTGACTATTACAAGTACAGAAAATGCTTAACCATTATTACAGACATTTTAAAGACGGAATTTGATAACATGTGAGAGAGAGAGAGGGAGAGAGAGAGAAACAGAGAGGGAAAGAAGGAAGAAGGGAGAAAGAATCCAGAAGAAGTACTGTAATACAAAGTATCCTATGGCTTCTAGAAATTCTTAATTCTTGAACCAGAGGGTTTCCAAGAGGAGCAAAGGACCTAAGATTAAAACCCAATAAGCAGTGTTAATAATGGTCAAGTCATTTAGCAGCAGCTCTAGCCATAGGAATTTTCCACAATAATGACAAACACTGAGTACCTGTGTGCTGTCTGCTGTGAAATCTAGTACTGCTCCCTCTCATTCTTTCAAGTGGTTCTCTCTCCTGTCTGGGGCAGTTTCTTCACACGCTTGTGTTGGTTTGTATCTTGATAAATACTAAAATTGTACATTCTACAATCTCCAGAGTTTGCTCTATGTGGCCTTCTGATCTCTGGCCCTCTGGCCTATAAATTTCGCTGCCTTGGTCTCCTTGGTCTCACCTCTATCACCTTAACTCAGAGTCTGCCTGGCTCTGGGTGGGTTTCTCCTCCTTGTGCCGTGCCTGGAAATTCTTCTAAGTCCGTAAGTTTGGTTAATTTGGGGCTATTTTGTCCAGTTTTTGCTTGTTTCAGGCAGGTCCTTGTTATTTCATTTTGGCCAGAAGTGGAATTCTAGGAACTAAATTTTAAATTTCATTTAATTCTAATTAATTTAAATAGTCATATGTAGCCAGTAACTACTGTATTGAACAGCATCAGAGCAGAGGTTCATTCCCAAAATCTATCAGATCATGAAATTAAGAAATTATTTAGATTGAGAACAAGTTAACTGTGATTCCTCCTTTTGTAACTTTTTGTAAAATTATACTGGCTAAAGAGCAATGTATATATGTACTAAAGGCATTTGAACTAAAGTTAATGTCAATATTATTCATCCAACAAATATCTACGAAGTGTGGATCATTTCTTAGGTGCAAGGCAATCAAATGCTACTAGAGATACACAGACAAAGATAGTTCCTGCTCTTTGGGGCTAACAGTTTAGTGAGACATGTTAAACAGATAAATTACCATTTACCAAGACAAGCTACCAAGACAAAGTGACCGGAAGACAGGAAACAAGTGTAGCAGATCCACAAAGAACAGAGCAACTAATAGTAAATGACATGGAGGTAGTGCTGGGAAGTCTTTATCAAAGACAGGGCATCTGAGTGACGTCATTAAGAATAAAGAGAAATTAATAAACATTCACTTGGCACCTACTTTGTGCCAGGTTTGTGCTAGAAACTGAGGATAGAAAAATGAGTATAACATAATACCTACCTTCAAGGAGCTCATAAGCTAATGGGGAAGAGTACAATGTGCAGTAACAGTGTCTAGAGATGACAGTAAACTAGAGCATTAAGAATAAAGAAGAGAGCCCGGGCGTGGCTCAGCGGTTGAGCGTCGACCTAGGATATAGGCAATCGGGGTTCGATTCCCAGTCAGGGCACATGCCGGGTTGCGGGCTTGATCAATGATTCTCTGATCATTGATGTTTCTATCTCTCTCTCTCCCTTTCCTTTCCTCTCTCTGAAATCAATAAAGATATGTTTAAAAAAAAAAAAAGAAGAGAGAATAAATATCCTAAAGGTGTAAGGGCTGCTACACTAATTCCCATCCAGAGTTAACTGGACCATGAGTAGATATAAATCCAAAGGAGCCAAGTCATATGATGGGCTAAACCAACCAAATTCTTTCTTATGATAGAATGGAAGCTAAGAGATATAAAAAGTTAGGCGTTGTTAAGCCTAAACTAAGAGGTCATGGAGAACTGGCAGTGGGGTGGTCATTTTACTTTTTTCTTTTTTTCATTTGTATGCCATCAGAGAAAGCCAGTCTGCATTCATTTTGCTTATTGCAGTATCTCCAGTAACTAACACACATTCTGCTCGGCCATAACTCTACTCCATGTTGTAATCATTTTGCCCAGTGGCCACGGTAACACAGTGGGGACTGGAATCTAGAAGGATATCATAAAAGGGAAAAGGGTGGTTGCACTATGTGACATGCAAATAGTGATTCCCCTGTTGCAGGCACAAACTTCTCCATCAAATAGTTTTGCATAGTTGTAAATTCTTTGATTTGTAAAATTCTAAGAAACAAAGATAGAAACAGGGTGAAGTTGTTTTTGTTGAAAACTTACGATAAGAACCATCTGGGCTAATTTCATCACTTATAACCAGGCAGGTAATCTGGGAATATGGTAAAGGATTGTTTCTATTATAGGGACTAACAATCATTCCAATGAACTTCGCACCACCTCTGGAGAAGTAGCTCTACAATGAAAAGTAAAGTACAATTAGTTTGAACTACATAAATTTAAAAGTCAGTATTTATCCACACTAACATTTTAAACATCTAATGAAAAGAAAAGGGAACAAAAAGATGTGTTAAAACTTCACACCCAAATAGCAACTAAATGAAATGTCTTATACATTCATTCTATACTCTAAATTTTTCAGGCCAAAATGTGTTCAACCCAACCTTTAAAAAATCTGTATTGCCAGGAATATATTTACTAATTATATTCACAACCCATCAGCTATAATCATTCTCAATATGGCAATAATTTACTAACAGCTGCCTACAGCAAAAACATTCATATATTAAACATAAAATTACAGAAGTAAAACTTTCTATTTCTCAGAGATGCAAAATATATATTATGTTCCTGATTATTTCAAGTATTCCCAGTCTCTATCCTAATTGTTCCCATCAACTTTTCAAGGCTCTGGGAGTAATTATCACTGTTACTTTGATGCCTTGTCTGTATTAAACAAAATAACTGATTTTCCAAATTTTTAAATAAACATGTATTACTCTTGTAATCAGGAAAAAATGCAAATTATTTCAAAACTCCAGATGTAAAGAATATAATATATGCAATACTTTGCTAGAAATGTTAAAATTACATTTATGTAATAAAAAGCAATGAGCAGGAAGACTGTGCAATCAATCATTTACAGAACGCATACACATAAGACCCATAAACATACCTGGTATTTGGCCTGAGTATCAATATCTCGTAGGGAAGGATTAGGATCGAAGGCAGGATGAGAATGGTACCATCCAATAACACTATAGCCTCTTACAGCCAAGGCTTCCGAGGCTTGTGTTTGTGAGACAGGGTCCATCTCACACTGCAGTCCTGTACTCAGACTATTACATGGCTCTGCTGCACAGACCTAAAAAGGATTAATCCTTGTATGATTACACTGAAATTCTGTTAATTCTATTACTTTAATGTTTTAGTTCTTTCATACATAGATACAGAAACTTTTTAAAGCCAAGCCTTTTATTTTGATTAACTTGCAAATGAATAATACTCCAAAAGTGTGACTAGGTGAGGAACTCAGAATTCTCTTTTCTATTTAAACAAGGTCACAATAACTGTTCATTTTCCAGGTCAGCCCATGTAATACCTGTACAAACATACTCTTTCAGTGACCCCTATTATTTATGATAATAATTTCAACAGAATGATGCATACCAAGCTTCAACTATAAGGTTACACATGCTTCCTGGCCTCGTAGGATTTGTAGCTTTTTATTGGTGAAGGCAATGAGGAAGCAGGCCTGGCAGTGTTCCCTCTTTCTATTTATTGAGGAAACAGGTGCTCAATAAATAGAATGTTAAGTCACTTTTGGGAATATATAACATTCTACATTTGCATGTTCTCATTCATATCACAGGAGAAATCTATATTTTAATTATACCCACTGAAATCTATAAAAATATTTGGTATGGCAGCAGGACAAAATACTTCTACAATCTTTAAAATTGAGAACTTACTTCAACTATCTTATTAACTTCTGAGTATCTTCCTCCTAACAAACCAATCACTTCTGCCATAGACACATGAGCATGCTAAAAAAGAAATACAAGATAGACTTAGCCCAAACAAATCACCAGACAAAAAAATCAGAATAAAACTCACATAACAAGTATGGTAATTATGCTTTGCTAATATAAAGTAACATGCTAGAGGAACCAGATGCTAGGCTCAGAGCACAGAGACTTAAGATTTCAGACCTATCTTCACTGCTGGCTGAGAAGCTTTGAACCAAACACTCAAACACTCCATGATGTCACTTTTTCACTTACAAAATAGATACCATTGCTTTCCCTATTCAGGAAAGATATAAGGGTACAAAGTAAAAAATCACTCTAGAACCTCCTATAGGAAAAGACCATAAACGCACAACTATGGAGTCTCAGTAGTTTAGTACAAACAAGGAAACTACAAATATGAGTAGTGTTTTGTCGCAGTTATCTAGAAGGCAGCAGACAAAGGATACTAAGAAATGAAAATATGGTTAATGATGATAAACAGTCTGCAAAAACTCACATTAATTTATTTTCTCTAAAATATGGAAACATGCAATGTTTGGCTTTTCTCCAAAAGAAAAGACTTATTTTTAGATTCCTTGTAAAAGAGGATAGTTAAGATCCAAAATACAGGTCTTCCATACTCTCTCTTATGCCTGCAATAAAAATACACAAGAATACAAATCAGAATAACTAAGTAAACACAATAGATTATCCTTACCAAATCCATTATTAAAAGTGCTTCTGAAGCCACTTTCACCTGAAATGGCTCCTGAAATATAAAAAAAACACAACAACAAAAAAAGTGGGGGAGCATAAAAATAGAGATTTTGTTCTCCCAACTGGAATGTCCACCCCCTTCTCCTTTACCTGCAACCTTCCATACCAAGGCCTTGCCACCAATCAAAACTCAGGGAGAACCAAACTTCAAAATAGATTTACTATTTAAAACTCTAGCAGAGAAAGTCCCTCTCCTTCCTCACCTGTAGTCCTCATCTGACCCTGAAAAGACCCTGGCTCGCCCACTGTTTCACACATATATATATGCCTTGCATACACTGAAAAAGAAGTGTTTCATGTCTGACAGGAGGGCATTATTTATGGTCATTCAGTGGTGCATAAGTAGTACCTGCTTTTCTTCACTGAAATAATTACAAGGTATCAGTTGGAAAGGATCAAATGAGCTGAAAAAGAAGAAAAATATTTATTTCTAATATAATCTCAACAAGATTAGGAAAATAACATTTATTTACAAATTTGAAAATGTGTATTAAAAACCGAAACCTACTGTCTGAGAGAAAAATATTCAAATGAGGAGAATTTCTTAAAACATTCCATATCCTTCTGAAAGCAACACTGCACTTTTGGACTTCATTTTTAAAAAGGGGGGGAGGGAACAATAGGACTTTTGGGAGAAAGTAATTCTGTTGTCTTAATTTCTTTTAATACCCAAAAAACAGAGCATTAAAAATAGCCACACATGTCCTACACTAAAAGTAGATTTCAAAAAGTTCAATGGAGATTAACCAATTCCCTGACATGAGACCTGAAAGAAATGTCAACAAAGTTGTAAGTCTCTCAAAAACATTTCTGTTGGTATAATAATATGGTCAGCATAGGAACTCAATAAATATTTGTTGAATGAATAAATGACAGACAGTTCTGCTACAGAAATTAATGTATGTAGAAAGTTCTATAATAAATTCATATTTTAAAATGAAGAAAAAAATTTAAAAGAAAGATGTGAAGAGAGGCACCTAAGCAAATCCAGATACAAAGGCATGAGTAAATAAATCTAAGAGAAATGTTAGAAAGGCTTTGACCAGTAAAGAATTGAGGTCTGAAGGATATATTAAGAATAAAAAGGTTTTTTAAGCTATGTTCAGAGAAACAAACAAACAAACAAACATGTTCATGTTAACACAACTGAAAAAGAGCAGAATTATTTAGTTGAGTCTATTCTACCTGAGACTATTAGCTCCAGGAGAACACATATACTACCTTGTTTACTGAATGCTGTATTCCAAGGGCCTCGAACAGTGCCTGACATATTTTAGGCATTCAAAAAAATTTGTTGAATAAAGAAGAAAGATTTTCAAAGTAGAAAGTGCTTGTCAACATGAATAAAAAGAAACTAAAGGCCAAGATAGATGAGAAAACAGCAAGAGCACATACGCATCCCAGAGCACAGAAGAACCATGTGAAACCACTGTCCCTGTTTTTGAGGAGCTGCAGAGAATGGGAAAATTACTGGAAGCCTCCTCAGAGCTGGCAATTATTGGTCTTGTTTCAAAACACAAAATAAGCAGATTTTAGAAACAGAGGAATCAGATGTTGAGTATTAAAAAAATTCTAGAAAAAAATTTTCAATAGCTGATTAGTAAGCCTTCAGCAAGTGAAGAGTTGACTAAGAATAAAGGGTTCATGAAAATATAAACTGTGATAAGTAGATCTAAATTTCATTTTTAGATTATAAAAGAACAAAAAACACTTTGCTAACCATCAGCACGACCTAAAGACAGAACCAGTCATTTCATGAGGTTACCTGTTCATAATGTCTCAGTTAAATGACCACGTCAACAAGGCCCCTTTACAACATAGGTTAGATCCTATATTCACTGAACCCAAACAAATTTAAAACTTGTGCTCAAGGTCTCCCAAAATGATAATCAGTGAAGTGAAAAATTTCAAAAGTTTTACCTGTATTTTTTGACTTAATGTGAACAATATAATGCAGCTATTTTGAGTATTTTTCCACACATTTTCTAATCATTTGTGATAAGTTAAAGGATCACATTTATATAATGTTAACTATACCTTTTTGCTGGTCTTTGCACTTTTGAAGATTTAATAGGTTTGCATTTTTCCTCTTCTCTTCTTCTTGCCAGTTCCTCAGCAGAGAGATGCTAAAATATAAAACACCACTTGATCAAGGAGTCCATCAACCACTGATAGGTAGAATAAAAATACTCCTTTAAAACCATATTTAAGGGCATGTGAGAGCAAGACAAGGTTCATAGATATGTCTCCTTCTTGCTACTAACAAACAGAAATGCTGAATAATGTGTTGAAAAAAAAATTGTTCCAGCCCCGCCGGGCGTGGCTCAGGGGTTGAGCATGGGCCTAGGATCAGGAGATCATGGTTCGATCCCCGGTCAGGGCACATGCCCGGGTTGCAGGCTCACAGCTGATCAATGACGACTCTCTCATCATTGATGTTTCAACTCTCTCCCTCTCCCTTCCTCTCTCTGAAATCAATAAATATATATTAAAAATAAAAAAAAATAAAAAATTGTTCCAAAATATACAGCCCTACCAAACTTCAAATTGACTCATTCTCCTAACTTCCTCATTTCAATTAATGGGACCCTGGTTAAAAACCTCAGGATCACCTGAATCCTTCCCTTTTTTTTTTTTTTTAATATATCTTTATTGATTTCAGAGAGAGGAAAGGAGGGGGAGAGAGAGAGATAGAAACATCAATGATGAGAGAGTCATTGATCGGCTGCAGCCCGCAACCCAGGCTGACCGGGAATCGAACCCTGATGGCCTGGATCCTAGGTCGATGCTCAACTGCTGAGCCATGCCTGGCTGGGCCCTTCCTTGTTCTTATTTCCCATTTCTAGTCAGCAAGTCCTACTGTATTGAGTTTTCTTTCACAACTGAGAGACATTCCAGTGGTCATGATAAAGAGCAGATTCCGGAGGTAAAATGCCTGGCTCTGCTGCTTACTAGCTGGGTGACCCCAGAAAAGTTACTAAAGCTTTCTTTGTTTTAGTTTCCTCATATTTAAAATGGGAATATAGAAGTAATAACAATGTCATGATGTTATTGTGAAGATTAAATGAGTTAATGATTGTAAAATACTGACAATAGTAGCTGATACATAGTAAGTCCTATGTAAATATAAATGTTTCATCCCATTTCTGCTACCAATCTTATACTCTAGCCCCAATGAGCTATGTGTTTTTCCATGTCTATACCTTTGTTTATACTGCTCCTCTACCCTGAAACACCATCATCTACATTTTGAGATTCTCCAGCTCATCTTCCTGCCACAGATGAAACATCACATCCTCTGTGAAACCGTCCCCAATCACATCCTTTGGGAGGACCTTATACTTCTTGGGACCAGTGTTATGTAACTTACTACGGGTTTTATCTTTCCTCCTAGAAATCTAAGTTACTTCCAGGTAGGAACCATGTATTACTATACTTGATCTTAGCCAAAAGGCCAAGAAGTGATGGAACCACATATTACCAACTGTTATGCCTAGAATAGTTCTCAGGTGTGAGATTAAGGGGAGTGGGTAAAAAAAAAAAAAGAGAACTTTTATCAAGTACATGATACATGCAAGGCTTACTGAGTGCCTGCTACTAAGACCTTCGTACATCTTATTTATTTTACTGAATTCTCACAACAATCCTTTGAGGGAGGTATTATCCACTTTCATATTTTCCATTTGTATAGAGCATGAGCAGAGGGGAATTTTTGGATACCTCTGACAATCCAATATGGAGTCACTATCAGCCATGACAGTGATGTCAAGTGCTATGTCAAGACTGAGGTAATGGGATGTAACGGTAATGTCTTTAGGAGGGGCCTGGAATGACCAAAACCACAAGTCTGAATACCTGGATAAGGACTCCATCCAGACACTTTTAAGAGAGGGGGATCTCCACGCTGGTGGGTAAGAACTCAGAGCTCTGACCAGCCAACACTTGAGCTTAGCTGTACCACAGGTCACCCTCAGAGCCCTGCTGGATTTCCACTTCTCCAGATGTGTGCCACCACTGTAGCTGCCTGGCTTAAAGCTGACACCCACCTCCAGTGACTAGGACTTTGAGACTGGCTCTCACTCTGCTTGCTTTTATAGCATAAGCTCTCCCTCTCTGTGGAGGAGGTGTCCCCTAATAAACCTGGCATATGGAAAGACACAAATGTGTGTGAGTGGCTCCTTTCAGGGATGCTCCCTTGCTCTCACACCATTCTACTGCACTGGTTGTTCATAATCAAATTATATATGTAGAATGCTTGTGGGTATATACATACACACATTCATTGCCTATTTTCTCTTTAGAAACATAGTTTTTATTAGTAGAAATAATACTTTAATATTTGTATTATGTCTAATGCTCGGGACATATTTTAATTGGTGTATGAGAATGTCATTCAACAATGATTACTGAAATGAACTGGGCATACCAACTTCCTGGCCCCTGGAAGACATTCTTGAGCTAGAGAGCAAATGTAGAAAAAGATAATCAAAGTTCTAAAAATGAGTCAAACTCCTAGTTAACTGCACCATCAACACCTTCTACTTTGCTATTAATTAGTGACTTCTAGACAAAACAATTAACATAGAAATGAGACATATATATGTATACATATTTCAAAAAGTGTAATATCTGTGACATTAAGATATACAAATAAGTACTGACAAAACAACTTTCACTAATGAGCCATTTGAAAAGGTCAAAGTTACCTCAAATGTTTGTCCTTCTAAGTCTTTTGCATCACACCAATTTCCCCACGGGTCTCGGACCCTACGCCTCCTTGTGCGCTGTGATGAGATTTAAAAAAATCATACATTACCAAGATTAACTTAGAGAAATTACAGCACATTCATAACAAAATCAAAATAATTTTCTAAAAAACAATTTCTCCATTAATATATTGTAATCCCTGATCAGCAATGCCTGACTAAAGTTTGTTTTATTAATCTTTAATAGTTAGCACTCTGCTTAGAAATAAAACTGATTATTTTCTGTATTCTACTTGCATTTCTTCTTTAATTTTCACTTTCTTTCACCATTTGGGAGCTAAAACACTCAAACAAAAAATATTTTTAAGACTGCCCTGGCCAGTGTGGCTCAGCTGGTTGAGCGAATGTCAATCCATGCACTGAAAAGTTGCCAGTTTGATTCCTGGTCAGGGTATATACCCAGGTTTTGAGTTCGCAACCTGGGAGGCAACTGATCAATGTTCTTCTCTCACATCGATGTTTCTCTCTCTCTCTCTCTCAAAAATCAATAAAAACATTAAAAAAAATTTTTTTAAGAACACACCACAAGAGGGAGAATATTTAAAAGTAGAAGCAAAATAATTATATTTCAGCCTCAGAAAGGAAAATATTGCTTAGTTAATACAAATAGTAAAAAATTACAAAACTGGATAACTGGATTACTACTATCCAGTTTTGCAAACCTCAATACTAAAGTCTTTAAATGGACTAGCTGACAGAGGTCACTGTCTGACTAGCAACATGTCCAGCAACTATATTTGAAAACATCCTTTCTTAAAGAAAATTTAGGTAGAACTGGTTTACAGTCCAGATACTCTGAGAAAGATACCCATTTTATCATCTATATTTTTTTATCTCACCTATTACCAATTTAACCTATTTTATTGGTTCACAGCATGACTCTGCCTCATAGGAGACTTGCTGGATCACTTATTTTTGAAATAAGATTCATGAATCTTAAACTACTGTAAAACTCACTAACCTCAAGAATTAAAAAAATAAAGGCTAAAATATTTTGGATAGCTATTCCAAAAAGCTGAATCTTATGATAAAAATTTTAAACAAACAAAAATAACTAAAAGAGAAAAAAGAGCTTAACTGTACAGTTAAAAAAAAAGTTAGATTTAGAAACCAAAACCAAGCAGTTTAAAATCATTTTAGCAAAACATTATACTTCTGTGTAAAGGTTGCCAGTGAAATTTGAGGATTTTATCTGTTTGTTTTTGCCTTATAAACCTATGTGAAATTGAATGGAAACCAGAAAAGTGAATGGCAAGGTAAAATACAAGAGAAAATATGTTCTTACATTAAATGGCCACTTGTCAAACAGTTGAAGAAAAGTAGACATACCTTACTTTACGGGTTAAGGAGCAATTTGGAGAGATCATTTAGTGAGAGAGGCAACTGCTTACCATGGACTGCAGACGCTGGGCAAGTTGGTATGCTTCTGCTGTATCTTTTCTGTCTCTGATCCGTATTTTATCAACTGGTTGTGGCCTGTTATATACAGCCTGTTCTATTGGAATTCAGGAAAAACAAAACAATCTATTTTTTTAAGAATTCATTTGTTAAAAAGGAAGACACATCTACACTGACTATATAAGCCAATTTCTAAGTTTCTTTATACCACAGCTTCTATTTTTCTATCCTATTCCACAATCACATATTTTATGTGCCACTTAGTTCTCACAAGAAAGCAGTGCTATTGTTTATTCATAAGGAAATCTCAATAAAGTGTGATACTTAGGAAACGGGTAATTTGTTTAATTTTTTATTAAGTCTACTTTGCTAACTTTGGAAGTCTAATATAGAAAACATGACTTCATTTTTCTTTTAGTGGCTGAGGAAGCTAAGTTTTCCTGAAAAGCGTGCTTTGGGCAAAGAAAGACACTAAAACAAAGACCTCAGGGCAGACTGTAAATTCTATCTACCTCTATATAAAATAAAATCACCTCTGACAGGAAGTTTTCTGGTTAGCTGTCTTTTCACAGACACAGACTACAGAATACTCTTCTCATGCCATGGGTTGCAAGGTTCTAATTACCTTATCACTTTGCAACTATGGCATTATCTTTCTTCAAAAACTTTGTGTCATGTTAATAAAAGGGTAAAATACATTTTAAAAAATACATACTCATAAACTTTTATATTTGAGAAAAAGTAGGGTGAAAAAACTCTTCCATGAAAAATATTTTGGCATTTTTATTCCATTTAAGCGTAGAGGCTCATAAATTATTTCCTTTATTTAAACACTGCTAGACAGTATTTCTTGCATGAATACAACATTTGCAAATTAAATGGGCTATTATTAGACTTTTCATAAAATAATTTTACTTTTACTTGACAAAGAACTGCATTCTTAAATTATTTCTACTACTTAGACTGCACGTATTTCCTTTAAAAATAGCACCACCAATTTTCACTGTAGGTCAAAGGGAAATATAGTTTAATCAACATAAATCTGTTTTACAGCAAAATCTCAATACATTTATTCCAAAATGTTACAGAATGTTATATATATATACCTAAATCTACCTGAATTCTACCCATCAAAGAAATTAATGGGTGCCGTAAGGATAAAAATGTCAAGTAAAAGATGTTGTTGGGTTTTTATTTTTACCACATCCAAAATTGATTGCTCCTATCAATTCGAGGTATGTATGAATCCGTCCAATACAATTAACATCCCCACAGTTCTTCAGGCCAGGACGTACTGAGGTCTTATTTAAGTATTTCGGTTTGCATATCTCCCTAATTAAGAGATGGAAGTACAATTATTTTGGATAAATAAAAACATGAAAAAAGATTTCTGGGGAAAACTTTTAATAGTTGAAATATCTTAAAAATTTACCCCCTCTCAATATGTAAATGTGTAGTAAATACAACATTAATACATAACACCCAAGTGTACTTTTTTCTGAAATAAAATATCTTTAAGTGATACAATAACTTACAAGTATAGTGTGATTTTTACAAATATCATTTCTTTCCCAATATTAAATTCAATAGATTCCAGTTATCCCAGGAATTTTAAGTTAGAAGCTTATTTCTACAGATCCAAATTCAAGTCTGAATCTCTGACTAAAAAGGGCACTTCGATAATGTATTAAAAGTATGTAGTATTAGACTTCTTGAATTTTTAATATATCACTAAGTTCATCTACTTTTACTTTGTTGGGCAGTATCTATTCATTATAAACTACCTTACAAATACTTAAAAGTTTTAGAATAGTTTTTAATCATTATGCCAATAAATATTAAGTGCTTATTCTCAGTGGAAAACACAAACAGATATTATAGGGGATCCTAAAGGGATCAAGAAATGCACAAAGACTATGAAAAAAATGAGGTTTATACAATAAAACACGTATTTATTTAATATATTTAATGTACCACGGTAGATGGTACAAAATAAGTATAAGAGTAATAGAAAATAAAAGTAGCAAACAATTACTGAGTGCTTATGCCAGATGGTGTACCCAAGAGTTACACACCCTTAATCCTCACCAACAACTCTATAAGAGATTTTATTATTCTCATTTTAGAGATGAGAAGCAAAAAGGTCACAGAAATTAAAGCACTTACTTAAGGAAGTGACAGTCAGGATGCAAACAGACGTTATAAATCAAGTATTCAAATAAATTATATAACATAGGTATTTCATATTCAATCTTTATTTTATCCTACAAATATTTATTTTGTATACTCTGAATCAGGCATTGTTCTAGGTACAAAGGACACAGAAATGAATAAAATAAAGTTCCTGACCTTACATTCTAATGGGGAAGACAGTCAATAAATTAGTAAATAGTATCTATTGTATTGTCAGGTGGCAGTAAATGCTAGGAAGAAAAAATGATACAGTGAGACAAATATGCATAGACTATTTTAGAGAGGGTATTTAGGGAAGGCTCTTTAAGGAAAAACCAAATTTGAAATCATAAATTCTATAGAATTTCAGGGAAGGTAAAAAGTAATTTGTGATGCAGGAGGGTTTTCAAAAGTTCCATTGAAAAGCTGAGATTTCAAATGTTTAGAAAGAAAAGAAACTACACAAATGAAGGCAAGAAAGCATAAATGAGCATGGTGTAACTGGCTACCAAAAAACTGTATAAGTCTAAAAACTGAATTGATGTAATTAACAATTAACCAAATCACAAGGCTTTAAGCAGAACTTAGTAATTTAGTACAGTGCTGAACAAAGGATAAAGCCTCTCAAAATATCTGTTCATGATATAATGATGACTCATTCATTCAATCTTTTCTCCCTAACAAAGAGAGAGGCTTCTGTATTCCAAGTATTGTTCTAAGCATTAGGGATTTAACAATGAACAAATAAGACAAAAAAATCTGTCCTTGTGTGGAGACCAACATTATCACTGGGGGGGTGGGGAGGGAAACAAGACACACACAAAAATATAATATTTTCAGTAGTAATAAGTTCTATGATGGTAAATTTAAAAACAGGGTAAGAGAATGAGAGAAATGATATATGAGAGTTATTTTAGATAGGGTGGTAAGAGAAGGCCTCTAATTTCCCTTGAGCAGACCTGAATGAGATAAAGAAGCAAAATTCATCAAGTTCTGGAGGTGAAGCATCCAAGACAGAATGAAAAGTCTAGGTCAAGGCCCTGAGCTGGAAGGGTGAAAAGGAGTCAAAACTACAAACCCTGGAAATCACCTTCACCTAGAGTGACCTGCAACAAGTTCCTTTTACCCTCTGAAACTCATTGTTCTCATCTGTAAAATGAGGACAGGTTGTCAAAAGGATTGGAGATGATTTAAACACAATGCATGGCATTTGGTAGGCATTCAATAATGATATTGGTTACTATTTTTACTAAATTTCCCTAAACAGGAAGTCGATTGTATGTGCTTTTATGAAAAGGATCTTTTAGCTACAAACAAATATAGCAGGCCTCTCTTTATTTTTAAAACATTAACTTTTCCTTCTATTTTTTTAACACCATATCCAGTCCCTAACCACTCTCTCTTCTCTTTCCAAAGAGAACATCTGAGTTCCCGTTCACACATTTCTTTTTGCTTTCTCACCTACTGAAACAGCAACACTTATTAACTGGTTTCATGAACCAAGGCAAATAACATTAGGAAACTACTGCTATACAATTTATACTATCTATATAAATTATTCTGCCTCACAGATTCCAAAATTCAAAGTAACAAATGAAATTTGGTTAAAGTAACAGTAAGTACTCACTGATGATTCATATAGGCGTTTTGGAGTTATTTTGAAATCATTCAATTTTGGCCATTTATCCTCTTATTATTAAATCAAAATTAGATAGCAATAGAGATCCAATTTATCTTTTTTAACAGTGTGAATTAGGCAATATGGAATAAGGGAAAAAGTGATTTATAGAGTCAAGACTTGCACTGAAGTCTGTAAGTAACTGGTTATATAATCAAAGGCAGGTCCCTAAACCTCTCCTGACCTCAGAATCATTTTATCAGATAGAGAAAATACCACCTCCTATTTTATAGGCTTGTTGAGAAGTTAGACACAGAAAAGCTTTCCGTAAAGTACTATGCCAATGTCAGTTGTTCTTTATAAGTATTCTTCACTTTGATACTACCCTTACCCAGAACTTGTAACAATCTCAACTGTCTGCAAGAACAAGAACAAAAATCTTTCTTTTAGAATATGGCTATCCTTAAAAGCAAAATCACTTAATACTGTGTGGGCAAAATGAAGGTTACTGATTTTAAAAACCCTATTTTCCTTTGGTAACCTTCCTAGGTTATAGCAGAAGCCCTCTGTAAAGGTGGCCCTACACAATCCTGAAGCAGTAACAACAATTATGAATGTTTAATGAAGCCTTAAATTATTATGAAAAATTCAAATTACTTGCAGGGTACTTAGGCTAATAAGGTGGGAAGTTTTTTGTTATGCTCCCTATCCCTCACTAAATAATTTAAGTAAAAGGTACCAACAATTTAGAGGGTAATTCATATATCAAAAATTCCCGTTTCCTGAAGAAGCTGGATGAAGGAATGAACAGATTATGCCACAGGTTCAAAATTGTAAGCATTTAAAGCAGCTACTCAGGAAAATGGTTTCTGCAATCTAGCCACATTTAATGACACTATCCTTCTGTGACAGTTTTCTTTCTTTGTATTTCAAAGTACAGGATAAGCTAGGAAAGATGTTATTCCCCTTTTCTGTATCTTCCTAACATTGTCCTAAGAAAGTGCTTCTTAAGGCAATCATCCATCCCTTTTTATTTCCAGGCCCAAATACTCTTAACGAACAGAGATGGATAAGATAGCTATAGATGACAATGTTTACCAAACCTTCCAAAAAGAGTTTCACTACGAGAAATTTTAAGTCTTGCCTATTGAAATATATTATGTTAAAGCTCTCTGGATCATTAGCATTGTAAAATACTAAATTCTGCATAAGCCTAATTAAAACACTCTAGGGTATCGTAAGTTTTAAAACAGCATCTATAATTCTTGCTTACCACTGATCCAATATGTAATTCCTAATTTTTAAATAGCGTTCTGGTGTTTTAGCTTGGCGCCCCTCAAAAAACTCAGGAATTGCTTGTTTTTCTTCTTCTTGAATAATATTTCTATCTATTTCTACTTCTTGCTCTGGTGGCTTAAGCTCTTCTTCCTCATGGTGCTCCTCCTCCATTTGGCAGGAAGAATGAAAACGCATTTCATGATCATTCAAATCTTTCTGAACTTCATAAGGCTCCGGAGATGGCAACAGCCTGGAATCATCTACTATTCCATTTCCATCATGCTTATCACAGTTTTTCATCAGTTTATTACATTTCTGATCATTTAATTCAACTGACTTTTTCTCACCGGTGCTCTGTTTTTCAGTCCAAAATTTAATTCCTGAGCTTGAAAGTGTTTCCATCTCACCTTGCTTTGAATTCTGAAGATATTCCTTGGGAGATTTAGAAATGGGATCCTCCTGGCTGTCAGAAGTAATAAATTCTCCTTGGTAGGTTTCATGACTTTTACTATTAGGGATGTCTAATAAAAGATCACTGCTAGAATTCTCCAGGGGTGCTTGAGAAGTCAACTCATCTGCTTCATCTGTGATGTCTACTTCTTCATCGTCAGATAACTTTTCAATTTTTACAGCATTCAAGTTGGGATCAGCACGTCCCCGTAAACTTGATGGTGTCGATGCCTTTGTGCTTTTGTCTTCACTTTTAATCTGAAGATCACTGCTGCTCTTCTGATTCGGTGTTTCCTTTTCTGGACCATCTAATTTTACCTTATTAAAATCAAGATAAAACCCTCATAACATTATGATTTTAAAACTTAACCATTGGCACAAAAAACAGGATAAGTACAATGTTATTAAACTGAATACATCATTGGTATATTGTACCTTTATAGTGCTTTCCTTTAAAGTGTTTACTACATTTTAAATGAACAATTAATATTTTGTTCTATTTAACTATATGAAATTAAGTAGAATAATAATAATACTTATTTAAACAGGGACAATCATAACACAGAAGATATGCTTTGAGATTTTTGAAGATAAATATCTGTAGAGTACTTTATGGGTATAAAATACTTCCACTATAAAAATTTGGAACATTAAGACTTTAATGCCTGAATTAAAAACTACTTTTTCTTACTCATTTTATTTACTTAAAATATTATTGACTAGGATAGTTATATTCGGCTTACCTTATTTTTAAAGTACTGTCTCGCATAGCTCTTCACTTGTAAAATAGTTCGACTTCCAATTAGCTTTGCGATTTTGGTCCACCTTCGGCCAAATTTAGCCTATATTATCAAAATGGAAAAGAAATGGCTTCTGTTGAACTTACTTGTTAATATTCTAAGCGACTGCAACAATAAAAAAAAAAAAAAAAAAAAAAGCAAACTAAAAGAACAGCCCACCTTTATTTATTTTCTAAAGCACAGAATAAAGCCTCATATATAGCTACGACTTAAAATCAAGGCCCACATTCTTCTTTTGGAATCTGGACTTAATGACAACTGACCAAAATGGTTTAGAAATTAGTTTTCTTTTCATAGCTATCTAAATAAAGATACATCACTTTTACGTATCCTTAACCATATGTATTCATATTGCACATTATGATGTTCCAAATCTTAAGGTAACTTTAAAAAAGTATCTGAAAGGGAGGCAGGTTGCATTTTCATTTATACAATCAATTGAGTATGTTCTGACACTAATTTAAAAACACCTTTTTACCCAGATTCCATGTGTTACAATATCCATTATATGCCCCATAGCAGATACTATAACTCTACACAGGTATCATGGTGAACTGACTTACAAGAGTGAATCACAAATGAAGAGAGCTGCAACCAACGCCTCCCTACACCTCTCTACTGTCGAAGGCTGTCCACTTGCTAACACTGAGGCTGTGGGGAGAAAAACTAAGAACTTGAGGGAGCTCTGGTGTATTGTGAAGTACAGAAAGGAATAAATATAATTTTAAAGCTAAAAGGGATTTTTAGGTATCAAGTCTATCATTTGATACATACATAAACCTCCTTTATAATATCTCTAACACAAGATACTCTCTACTTCCCAAAGTAGCTCAACAATTCTAATTTTTTAGAATTCTTAAAGCTATGGAAAACAAACCAACAAAAAAACCACGCCACAACTCAGGGAAGTTGACCTCAGGGCAGATTTACAGGCCAGGCAGTCATGACTTATGGTAGCAAATCATCTTCAAAGGCGCAACCCAAATGATAAACCTTAATTTATACACTTATTTCTGGTATTCATTAGAAAATCTGATATATGGATAATTTCTTAAAACTGAAAGTACTTCAGGGTAAATTACTAGTAAGTATAAATTATTTATATTGCTCTTAACAAACACCTAGCAGAGATCAACTTACTGAAGAATTCGTTATCTTTATTGTGGGATAAAGTCAAATAGGTAGCCTGGCAGCATGGAGCACTTTTGGAGACAGGAAAGATCCTGATAAAGTATAACCAGTAGGAACTCTAAGGGCTTGGGCACTATGAAACTTAGGGAGGGGACACTAACAACAGGAGCAAAGAAAACATTCATCAGTTTTAAAATACAGCAAAGGGAGAGCCCTATGCCCAAGAAAGGAAAGGAGAAATCTTCCTTCATCATTCAGTGTCGCAATTCCCTTCTCTCAAACCTGAGAAAATTCAGTCTATAAGCAAACTATATCAAAAGATCAAAAAAGTTAACATATAACCAATAGCTCCATTTATTTTGTGGGAAAATATTCTAAGTTTAAAATATGTTTATGTATCTAAATAGATAAATAAATATGTATATAAATAAATACACATTTGCTTATACAGAAATAAGTATCTCTGGAAGGATACACAAAAAACATGAAAATGGTTGCCTCAGACATAAAGAACTGAAGGCTGAGACAAGAGTTAGACTTGACACCCTATAATTTTAGGTACCTTTCAAATTTTGAACCATGCAGATGTAGCTCTTACAACTACTACCAATGTCAACAATAACCTAAAAATTCACAGCCCCAGTCTTCCATAAGGGGCAAAACACCAAAGTTGTCAGCAATCTTAAATAAATGGCTAGTTAAAGTTAGATTATGTAAATGATAATCATGCAACAGACTGAAATACCAAAATATAAAACATAACAGCACAGGAGAAAAATCTCAGGAAGAGATAAAACCCTCAAGGACAGTTTAGGTGATTATGTAAAAACATCACAGAATATATAAATGTCATGGTAATGACTAAATATAAAAATACAAGCACATTTTATTTCCCATCATCTGCAGAAACATTATCAATAATATTTCAAGTAGTATTCATGAATCCTACGTAATTATATAAATATTCTACATATGTCATATAAATATATAATTTCATAATTAATTTAGTGTAACACTGGGTAATATGTACTTTAAAGGAAACAATAAAACCTATCCCCAGTAGTTAAAATGGTGTGCATATTTTTCCATTATGTAACTTGTAGACATTTATATAGGTGTCAGTGAAACATTCATGTAAAAAAAACATGTTTTGTCTTCAATTACATTGAAGTATTTAAATTATATGCACAATGCCAAATACCTGAATAAAAAAGAACTCAACCCAGACAGTTCCATATACACAAGTTTTTTTTCTAAGAGAAAACATCAAATAACTAAATAATTTTGCCTTTTAAGCCAGGTAGTTTACAGAGAAAGCTCAATTTGGGATTTTATTAGTATAAAAAAAAGGTAAAAACTATCCAAAAATTAATTCAAATCTATTTTAATATTTTAGCAACCTAAATGAGTTAAATTCTCTTGCACTACACTATAAACATCATCACTCTAACTATAGAAAAACTATAGATATGATCACTGTAATTAAAAAGAAATTTCTGGTCTCTACAAATTAATTTAACCTTATCATTCTATCAATACTTGCTTCTAGAATTATTTTACTATAAATCAAAAATTGCTCTATTTACCAGCCCTTGTTCAAACAGTTCTTTTTCTTCTATCGTCCACTTTACTGAGAAACTGGCTGGTTTTGTAGGAGATTGTACCCTGAGGGGGAAAAAAAGGAATTGCAAAAAAAATTTCTGAAATGGAACATCCCATATTTATGCAGCTAAAGGTTAATAGATAGCCATGAACTAAATTCAATACTCTGAGTCTAGGAATTTTTAAAAAAAAAGGAAAAGAAGAAGGCTGCAGCCTCTACGTGAGGGGGCAGATTTACCCTGTCTCATATACGTCTCTAGCTCAGGATGAGAGGAGCCCCAAAAGACATAATCCTTGGGTCTGAGTGAAGATAACACTAAAAGACATCAAAGGAAGTCAGTGTGAAAATAAACAAATAGGGTTCCTTATACTGGACACACAACAGCAGACAATAATACATTTCCAAATCCTGAAAGGCATGTAAAAGTTTAAATTGACTCTAGAAATATTATCTCTATGAATCTTCCATGTAAATATCAAGCCAGAAAAGTAAAAAAACAAACAAAAACCCTATGGTATTATGTTTATTGCTTTTGAAATTGCAGTATCTTAAGAAATTAAAATAAAAGAGTGATGAGGCTCACTAATTTAATTCAAGCAAATCATTAATCTTTTCATTAACTTCTTTTTCTGTTGTTTATTCAGCAAAATGCTAAAGCCAAAGTCTGTTCAGTGCTCAGACTCTTGGCAGTTGCAAATCTGTAAGCCTTACCGTTTAAGGGACTATAAACATGCAAGTTTATAAACACTAAATAAAACAATTAATACCTAGTTTCTTTAATTTTTGAAAGCTACAAATTCAAATTAAATTTTGGTTTGAAGTGATTGAAAATTAACTGACAGGGCAATAGAAGTCAATTCCTAACATATTAAATAGCAGATTTTAAAAGTATCCCCACAAATCCCTAGGAAACCATTTTTTCCATAATCTGATGGAACCCAAAGAGAAATTCCAGAAAATGGCATCAAACAGTTACCTTGGGGCATTCCAATATGTGTACAAGAAATTTTGATTTTATAATTTTGTATAACTCAAGATCAAGAGAGCTTTCCCACAGGCCAACTATAATTTTTGTTTAATTTCCCCATAATTTTTAACTAATAAAAAAGGTTTTAAAGTATAAAACATAAGTACATACATGATTTTTGCTGTTTTCTGCAGACTGCACCACATGAAAAAAGAAAATAAGGAAGCATGTGAAGTTTCTAAAAATACTGTTCATACTTTTAATAGTATGATAAATTGATTTTTTACCTCTTCATGTATTTCTTATCATCTTCCTTTTGATCAAGCCAGAATTTTTCTGGAAGTGATTTTTTAGATAAATAATACCTGTATAGCTATTAAGGAAACTTTAAAACCAACAAAGTCATCATTTTTGTGTGTCTTCTATAAAAGTAGGCACTCATATTATATACTCATGAAAGTCACACTAGAATCCTAGCTAAACCAATTCCTTTCAAAACCCTTTTCAGCTCTGTAAAAAAAAATTTGGTTAAATTATTTACACCTCACAGGGTTGTTATATGGATTAAATATTACATGTTAAATCTCACAACACAGTGCCTACATAAAATGTGTTACATAAATGCTAGTTTTTCTTCTCTTCCCTTTTAGAAGTGGCTAAGAGAAAAAATATCCTCAATGTTTTACTTAATTCTTTTTTTCCTAAAACATATGGGAAAGTAACAGATGAATCTGATTGGCTGTCCAGGGTAATTTAGGAAAACCAATTGTCTTCATATTTCTCAAGGTAACAGAGAAGAGCTCAGGGATGTGTTCTCTATCCTAATAAAAATAACAATTAGGTCAAATCTACTAGAAAGTCTCCTTCTCAAACATCTTACAACTGGCCTCTGCAATAACTCAGATTAATCAAAATATTCTTCACTAACAATTACTGACTATTTATAGTGTATGTTAGGGACTATGCTAGGTATTAGGTACTGAGGACAAAGATACAAGGAAACATTATCCCTGTCCATCAAGAGCTGACATAGCTTTTACTCTCATTATTTCTGTTTCCAAATCTGGAAGTGAACTGTGTGACTAAAGGACTCATTAATCTAGAATTGCACTGTTCAATACATTAGCCAATAGCCATGTTTAACTATTAAATACTTGAAATGTGGCTAGCACGAACTGAGGTATATTTTAAGTATAAAATATACAATGAATTTCAGAGTATGAAACGATGAATGTGAAAGGTCTCAATAATGTTTTTATATTAAATGTTGAGATAACATTTTAAATATACTGGGTTAAATAAAATATTAAAATTAATTTCAACTGTTTTAAATGAGGCTACTAGAAAATTTTAAACTATATATGTGACTCACACTATTTTTCTATTAGAAGCAATGATATAGGTTATAACTGTAATGTCTGGGGAAAGAATAAGAAAGCCTAAAAAAGGTTAACCTATGAAAATTAAAGGTACATAGACATTCTGAAATCAACATAGCAGCAATAACTGGTAATAAAAGGAATAAAAAAATTAATGCTTAAAAGGAAGTAGAAATCCATGAAAAATAGATGAAAGAATGAAAAAACAAACCACTACTCATTAAACTATTATTAAAACTCTTTATAAATCATAAAATCAGAAATCATTTTATTCAATCCTCTCATTTTACATATAAGAAAATCGAGTCTCAAAGACATTAAGTTGCCAACATCACATACAGATGAAAGAAACAAGGACAAGAAGCCAGTGGCTGAACCACGGATAAGGATCCACAATTTCGGGGGGAGGGGGGGCGACTTTATCCTTTTGTATTTGTTTTGTGCTTTTTACTTAGATTCCTTTCACATAACAAATGGTAGAGTAAGAAGTGAGAAAAACTTTTACATATTCTAGTTCTAATCTTGTACAAATCAACATCTCTGGATTTCACGTTATATAACTGAAAATGGAGAACTGGATTAAATGATCTTAGACTAAATGTTCTAGCTATCTTAAAACATTCTATAATTCCGAATCAGTATTCAGACAGTATAAAGAATTTGTTGACAATAGAAACTCAAAAACATTGAATCGTATTTCAGACTTAGCAATGAAACAGAACCAAAGGAATAAAATGCAGCTTTTTGCACAGGTAGGTAACATATTATATAGTAGCAGTGTGGGGCCAAATATAATCCATCTAGTAATTAATAGTGGTCTCTTCTGTAATTTTTGCATTTAGAGGTTTTTAACCCTGAAATCTTCCCTCATAATCATTAAAGGATACTCTTCTTCCAACAACATTTTCTCAATGACAGCTCTGTTCTCTTCACTGATGGTGCTATCCAGAGTCCAGGGCTATTAAAAAAGAGAAGAACATATTTTTCTTTTTATTTACTACTTTTTGAAATTATCTTCTATATTTTGTTAAATGAAAACACATAATGATATGATTACCAAGAATAACAGCTATCATTTATTGAGCACAGACATATCTTTGATTCCCAAGATAACTCTATGAGATAGGCATTACTACTTCACAGATGCATCCCTAGCACTGCTAAGCATTTCAAGTGGGAGAGCAGAGACTTGACACACCAGTCTGCTAGACTCTAAGGCTCAAGCTCCTATCCATGATAAATAATACCTATCATACAGATCACCACGTTATTCCAGCTCGAAACCCAAGAATCATCCTGGATTCTTTTTCTCTCAGTCCCATATCCAAACTACCAAGAAGCTCTACATCTAAAATATAATTAAATCTGTCTACTTCTTTTGATTCTGACATAACCTCAGGCCAAGCTACCACCAAATCTTGCTTAGATTACTCAAATGTGTCCTAAATGATCTCTTGATTCTACTCGTGCTTCCTACAAATACGACAGAGCTCTCATCTGCCTTTCCAACTTCGTAACAGCTGTCACCCCTACCTCCTTACCATATTCTAAACACTGGCTTCCAACCAGAGCCTTTGTGCTACTATTCTTTCTGCCTAGAATGTTTCTCCTCAACTCTTCACATATTTACCTCCCTCTTTCTATTATTTTTCAACTTAAAAGTCACCTCCTCAATTTCCCATACTGACAACTTAAAGTAGGTTCCCCATCCTATTACTCTCAGTAAGCATCTAATGTCCTTCAGGACTTATATTTAGTCTGTCTACTTGTTTAATACCTGACTATCCTTTAGACGATAAGCCCCTTGAGAGCAGTACCATGTCTGCCTTGATTATAGTTGGAACCCCCAAATCTGGCCTAGTGTCTGGCACATAGTACGTACTCAATAAATAACTGTTAAATGAGGAAATGAACCCTGCAATGATCCCCATTTTTCAGATGATCAAACTGAGGTTCACAAATCTGGAAAGTGGTAGAGCAAGGATTTATACGCAAATCCAGCTGGAATCACAGTTGTTATTCAAAAGGCCATTTTTCAAAGTCAAAAGAAATAAGAATAAGTTTCTGCTATTTTTACAGTAAGAAAAAATGTTTCAATACAGTACCTCTGTGACTGCTGAGAACTAGCACCAAAAAAACAAACAAAAAAAGGTACTCTGAGAAATGAGTAATAGCTTAATGTACTTGATATTTTCATAAAATACTTACAATAAGACCATTCTCAGTTCTCCATGATGAATCAAGATAGTGATCTTGTAAAACAGATGCTGTATTTTCATCACTTCTGTAATAATTAAGAAAATGGGTATGAAAGTGATATTATACCAGTTAAGATATACAATTTACACAGCAGTGTACATACCTGGACACCTAGCTGAATCTCCATAGGTACCACAAATTAACATTTTTAAACCTGAGTTCACCTTTCCTTTCAAATTTGCTACTCTTCCATCATCACCTAACTCAGTCTATGGCATCTCTATCCCCCCAGAGGCCCAAGCCAGAAATCTGCACCTGTCCTTATTTCCTCACAATGCACATTCAATTTGTTGCCAATTCTGTTGCCTTTCCCTTTTCCAAATCCAATTCTTATACTATATCCACACTAACCTTTGAGGTCCTGTAGTTTCAGACCTTATAATTTTCCCTGGTTAATTGCAAGGGATAGGTTAATAAGTCGTCCACCTTCCCTCCTTTATCTTTTCCACTTACCTCCATCTGACATATACAGCCAGTTTACCGTCTGTCTTATCTAATGTTAGTTCTATGATAGCAAGGACTTAGTTTTGGTAACTAATGTATACCCAGGGGTTGGTATGCAAAAAGGTGCTCCATCAGTACTTCTTGAATGACTGAATGGACGAGGTAGGTGAGGCATGGACCATACAGGTTTCTAGGAGTTAAGAAATGAAGACTATCATAAAGCGAACTGGGGACTGAAGAAAATAACATGATCAGATCTGGATGTAAGAAAGAATGTTCTAACTTCAGGAAAGAGTAAAAGGAGCCAAAGAAACAAGGAGCAGTTAAGAGGAAGTGATTATATAAATACTAGAAAAAGGCAACAGTAACTTAGACCTAGGGAACAAGCAGTCTGAATAGGAAGAAATGAATACATTTGAGCGGATACTCAGAATCAACAGACCCTTCATAATTGATAGAAGTGGAAGGAAAGAGGTAAGGAAAAGGGTGCACACAGGTCTCTTCCTTGGGTGACTCGATGGATGGTGCCATTTATTGAACTAGGGCACCCAGAGAGGCAGGTTTGGTGGGGAATGTTTACAAGCTGAGATTGAGAGGCTTGTGGAATATCCAAATGCGAAGAAATTCAGAAAGTTGGATAAACGGAGCTCAGGAGAGATTTGGGTTGGCAGCAAATTTGGGAAACATCAACAGGTATTATTAGATGAACTTATGAAACTGCCATTTTTATAGGTCAAAAATGGTGAAACATTGGCAAACTTTCATATTGTCCAACCCAACGGACAGAAGTTTAAGTCTTGAGAGATGATCACCGGGGACTGTGTGGTTACTGAGTAGAAGTCTTATGACAAAACCACTTGAACACTATGATTTAAGAGAGAAGCAGAATACACGGAAGAATGGGAAGGAATGATAGAAGTAGAAGGGAAATCAAAAAGTTTCAATGTCATCTTCTAACTATGGTACCTAGCACTTAGCAAGCTCCTTGACTTACAATGGAGTTATCCCTATAAACCCATCATGAGTTGAAAATGTGTCAAAAATGCATTTAATACACCTAACCTAACAAACATCACAGCTTCGCCTAGCATACCTTAAACATGCTCAGAATACATTATCCAAAAAACAATGGCAACACAGTTCACTGTATCTTGTTTATCCTTGTGATCCAGTGTCTGACTAGGAGTTGTGGCTTGCTGCCACTGCTCAGCATCTTAAAAGAGTATTGTACCTCCATATCACTAGCCTGGGAAATGATCAAAATTCAAAAATTGAACTACGATTTCTATTGAATACGTATTGCTTTTGTACCATCGTAAAGTTGAAAAATCACATCAGGGGGCACTACCCTCAGAATATAATGGTACTGAATTGGTAAGGCAATGGCTCTAGTACCACCAGGAACTAGTAACATTTGCAATCCTTCCTGCATAAGACTTAAGATGATCATAGGTGCCACCAGTAGACCTAAGGCTCAAACAGAGTAAGAAGGAAGAGAAAGGAAAAAATAAAGAGAGAAGGGAGAAAAATTAAATACAATCAGAGAAATAAAGAAGAACCTATGGAAAAGGGGTAGAGCCAATACTCTCAGATGGTCTTCAGTATTTCCAAGGTCAACTTATTTCTCTCGGGACTGCAGATGAGTATCCTAGCCCACTTATCTCACAGACTTATTTATTTATTTATTTAATTTTATTGATTTCAGAGAGAGGAAGGAAGAGGGAGAGAAAGGTAGAAACATCAATGATGAGAGTCACCGACTGGCTGCCTCCTGCATGACCCCTACTGGGTGGGGATCGAGCCCACAACCCAGGCATGTACCCTGACTGGGAATAAAACTGTGATGGCTTGGTTCAGAGGTCAATGCTCAACCACTGAGCCACACCCACCAGGCTCATAGACTTCTTGTGAAAAGTAAATTAAATCATTCATGCAAAAGTGCTTGGTCAAGATTAACTTGACCTACACAAATGTGAAAAATAATTGTTATTAAAAGCTCCCTATTCATTTTGTTTAGCTTTAGACTGCTCTGCCTAAAGATTTTGGGGAAAAAGACTATATATGAATTTAATTATTCCGCACATTTTTACAATGCCTTAGCGTTCACAAGCACTTTAAACCCTCTATCTTAGTCACTCAAGGACAGGGTTAGTATTTTCCACCATTTACAGAGACCGTCATATCAGGTTGGACCATATGAAATTGCCTCATTATAGGTAAAAAGTAGTCTAAAATTGAAAATTTCACATGGTTCAACCTAATACAGTTCTAATAAAGCTGTTCATAGTTACAAGCAATATAGCTCGCTGAGTTTGGAACTGAAGTCCTGATTCCTCATCAGTCTAGGCGTCTGCCATTACTAAAAGGGGATTCTGGAAGCACAGTTTTAAAATGGCATGTATCAATGTCTTACTCGTAAAGCAAGGAGTCAAAAGGCTAGATCTCTCAGGCCAGATAGACATTGCTGTTTAAAAACCACACTGGCCTGTTATGCAGGAATCGGTATTTAACAAATGTGACTCTTCTCCAGGTCCTCACCATACCATCCCTGAGGGTTACGGGATGGTAAAGAACGCATTAAGGTACACCTACCATAGGAAAAAAATGCATCCCATAATTATTTCATTTGCTCCTCACAATAGCCATATACGGTACACATGACTGTCAGCTTACACATGAGCTGTCAGAGGATGAGACAAGTTAAATGTCTGGCCCAAGGTCACACTGCGAGTAACAGGACGGGCCAGCAATGCAGGAGAACCCAGAGCTGTCCAACTCAAGTCCTACCCTGTTCCTAAAAGCCAAGCTGCCTCTCTGGAAGTTTTTCACAACTATCCCCAGGTGGAAGAGGAAACCTGTGGCCAGTAGGAATGAAACGACACGCCCAAGGTCAAACGGCTTGCAAATAATGGAAAAGGACCCCTGAGCTCAGGTCCCGTCCCGGGGCCGCGCTGGTTCTAGTTATTGTCACGCGGGTGCAAAGGGCAGATTATGGCGAGATTCTGAGGTGGAGGCAATGGAAGAAGGGATCCAACTGCAACGTGTTGGGCGAAATCGGCGCCCCCACAGCATCCTGGTAAAAAGTGAACGAGCCGCCCCACACTAGTCCCGGAAACCCCGCCGCTGGGCTCAGGAGCAGCCGGCTGGCGGGATGGGCGCGGCCCTTCTCCGGCTTCCAGGACACCCGTTCCCAAAGGATGTTCTTTCGCTTCCCTGTCCCTTGACACACCCGCAGCCTTTTAAGGGGACTCTCTGTGCATCCGCGCCCCCCCGCGTCCCTGCAAGACCCGGTCTTTCCGCCTCACCCTGGCTGTACCGCAGCTGCCACCACGTCCCCTTCGATATCCACATCCGCCTCTTCCGCCGCCATGATGGGGCCTGACCCCATCCGTCCTCCCGCGAGATCCCGCGAGATCCCGCGAGAGGTGGCAGCCTGGGGGCGGGGCCTGCGCGTCACGGGGCGGGGTTGAAGCCTCGGGCAGCCCCTCGCGAGCCCCGGCTTTCAGAGCGAGGAGGTGAGCGGCCCGGGCGCTGGGCCTTCTGGCTCTTGTTGCGCTTTAACGACCTTGGGCGGTGGTTCGGACTTGGGTTTTGAAGAGATTATGCTTTTGGACAAATTCTTTGGCCCCTCACGTGCCTCATTTGTAAAATGAAGATAATAGTAAATATTTTTCTCAAGTGCTAAAAAGGCCAAGCCAGACTCGCTTTGAACTGTGAAGGCAGCTAGTGAAGGACCCTTCCCTGCTGGTGTCTCTTTTCGTTTGTTCTTTCTTTTCTTTTCCTTTCCTTTTTTTTTCTTGCCTCGTCTTGTCTTTTTTCTTTTCGTCCTCCCTCCCCCCCTTCTTTCCTTCCTTAATTTTATTTAGAGAAAGATCATTCAGCACTTGTGTGAAGTGCTGAACAACTTGTATCTTAAAATTCAAAAACCATTTAAGAGTATAACATGATTGCCTATTTTATTTTGTAGAGGTCTTTACAATGAATTAAACAGTAACCTGGGTGAGGTGGGGAGGACTGGTATCAGGTGCACTTCACAGGTGGGACGCTGAGGCTGGGAAAGCTGAAGCCACTCTCGGAGGAGACACAGCCGTTCGCGGAAAAAGCTGGGATCAGAATTCAGGGTGGGTGTGTTTTTTGACTCTTTTATGGAGTGTTCGCCTTCTACAAATTACGTTGTTAGGAACTGTGAAAGATAAACACCATTTCTCTCAAAGAATTTATGTCCTCTCAAGAAATGAGACATTGGCCTTGTGTATTCTTCTATTTTAGCATTTCTCACTCACATTACTGTAACCGTTCATTTGTCTGCCTCCACCTCAGGACTGAATTACTTAAGGACAAAGGCTGTACCTGCTAGTCTTTACACTACTAACATTCAGCATGGTGCCTGGCACATAGTAGGTACTCAATAAATATTAAACTGATAAACGAATCAATTAATGGAATGAATACACTTCCCATACTATTCTCAGTTTGTTCCATCGCACTTTTGTCTGTGCTCAGGGCATAAGATTAGCTATGAATATGATGGCAGAAGGTGGGGAGAGATTTGTAACAAGGGAGATCCAGCGCTCAGAAACGGAACGTTGTTCCATCCTTAGGCTACCCTGGGGGTGCTGTTTCTGTTGTTAAAGGGCTTATCCAATGGCCAGTCCCAATGGTAACTGAAATGCCTGGCACAGAGTAGGTATTCTAAAATGTTTGTTGAATTTAGTTTAAAGCAAGGTTAAAAAGATGTACATGGCCATATAGTCAAAAGAAAATATAGACTAGAGATGCCTTTCATGGATCTTTATGTAACAGGCTGAGATGGGAACCCTGGCAGTACTGTATGGATACACACGATATCAGATGCCTTCTAGATCATAACACAAAATACTATGTAAACAATTACTCTTGCAACACTACACTGGAGGCTTCCTGGCCCAGTGCCAGGCATCTGTAGAACTAAAATATATGTGGAAGGAAGGAAAGGCCTGCATAAATTCAAATATGCCCCAAGGCCTTTAGAGTAGTCTGAAGCCTCCCTATTCATACCCAACATGATGCTACTGGTTAGCTGGCTTTATGTGAAACAGGTTCATAAGCTTCTAGGCTCAACCCCACCTGCCAGGATAGGACTATAACCTCACAGTCAGATGAACTGATCTATTTAAAATTTCCTCTTCTAGAGTTCTGCAACTCTGCAACTTGTTTAAAGACTTGTTTTCTCGCCAAGCAGTTTGGAAACAGAATGAAGAATTCAGAATTCATATTTCACAATTACTTGTACTCCTACTGCACTCAGTACCGAGGAAATGACATTGAACAAGACAAACTCAATCTCTGCCCTCATAAAGTCTATCAAACATGCAATTCCAAGATGATATAATAATTTCTGTGATAGAGGAGTTACAGGTTGTTGTGGGATCACAAAAGAGGGGCACTTATCCCAGAATGAACCTTCTTCTGTACCACATTTTTGAGGATGATATTGATCAGTCAAAATCTGAGAGCAATACTCTAGACTCCGGGTGATACAAAATAGAAAATCCTGTACTCTAAATTGGAGAGAGAACCAGTGGAAAAACATTGGAAGGAATAGTGCAGTGCTTGGTATTCACAAAGAGCCAGGAATAGTGCCTATTCCCACTGGCCAGATTGGAAAAACCTGATGATTCATGGGGCATTGGGTAGATAACTCAGAAGGGTATTGCCTAAGTAGCTGAGAATAATTAGCTCTAGGTGGAACACTGCTCTGGTACTGCCTGACAAATCTTAAAGACAAGATCTGAAAGGATAAAACTGTTTGCAGCTTAACTTAACTGTATCTCTGCTTTTCCCTCACTCCCCATAAAGCTCAAGAATATTTATAGGAATACAGAAATATCCAGCACCAAACAAGACAAAGTTCACATCCAATTTGTTTGACATCCAATTCCTAGGCATGCAAAGAAGTAGGAAAATATGACTTATGATAAGGAAAATAAATCAATCGAAAGCCACCCAGTACTGACACATGTTAAAATTAACACACTAAAATAGTTATTATAACTGTATTCTATGTATTTGAAAAGTTAAGTAGAGACATGGAAAATATAAAAAGAATGAAACTGAATTTCTACAATGCCTGTAATGAAAAATACACTGGGTTGGATTAATGGGAAATTAGACATCGCAGAAGAAAGGATTTGTGAACTTAAACACATAAAAGAACTGTCCAAAAAAAAAACAAAAACAAAACCCATACAGAGAAATTTAAAATTTAAGAAATAAAAAAATCAGTGAGCTCTAGGACAACAAGTTTCTTAATACATGCTCAAATGGAGTTCTGAAAAGTGGGGAGTAGGGATCAGGAAAAATATTTGAAGAAATAGTGATTGAAGAATTTTCCAAACTTCGAGGCAAACTAGAAACTTATACGTCCAAGAAGCTCAAGGAACCCCAGACAGAAGAAACATAAAGAAAACAGCACTAAGGCCCATTATAATTGCTCAAAAATGGTGATAAGAGGGAAACTCTCCAAAGAATAAAGGCATGTTAGCTACAGAGAGAAAAGATAAGAATGACAAGGAACTTCTTGTTGGAAACAACCAAAGCAAGAAGATGTTAAATCAACATTTTTAAATGGCTAAAAGGAAAAAAAAAAAATCAGTCAAGTTAGAGAATTGTACACCTAGTAAAAATATCTTTCAAAAATGAAGCCCAAATTATGTCTTTTTAAGATACAAAATCTGAAGGAACTCGTCACCAATCTATTTTTACTGTGAGAAATGTCAAAGGACACCCTTCAGGCACAGGGAACTATCAGATGGGAATCTGGATCTGCACAAAAGAAGAACAAGCACATGGAATGGTAACTACATGGTAAAAATGTAAGATTTTTTTCTTAGCATTTAAAACTCTTTAAATAAGAACTTACTGTTTAAAGAAAAATATCTGAGCTTTATAACATGTGTAGAAGTTAAATGTGTGACAACAGTAATGTAAAGTCCAGAAGTGGAGAAATGCAAGTATATGACTGTCAGATTATTATACATACATGAAGTAGTACTTGAATGTTATCACTGTGATATATTTAAAGATGTATAATATAAACCCTAAGGTAATCATTAAAATAACAAAACAAAGTTTGAACGTTAACAATGAAAATATATTCATATATTATATGTACTATTTTTTTAAAAAGTAATAACAGAGGGGTTGCTAATTTACTAAAGGATATAGAACAAGAAATTGATGGAGCAGGAATTCAAACCAAAGCCAGCTTCAAAGCTTCTATTGTTTTTCCCCACACCAGACTGTCCTCTAGTTTATATATGTATCAAATATGAATGTTTTCAGTTCTTGAGGCTACAGATAATTGACCCTCAAGGGTTGTAAATAAAGAACACCGAACTATCTTTAGAGTGAAGTGGTGAATTCACCTCATCAGAGCAGAGATATCCAAGGAAACTTAAAGAAATGGAATGACACTTAGGCGTGAGTGAATTCATACATCTAAATTCACAGTAGTAAATGCTACTTTCCAACCGATGTCCAGGAAGAAGGAAGTCGGAGTATTACAGGTTTCTAGTTCTAGTGGGGATAGAGAAAGATTCTAATATTTTCCATCCCATTAGCCAGACCACCCACACCATGGTAAGGTGAGTGCCAGGAGAGGAGGCACTTTGTCTTTTTCATTTTTTTATTCCTGTGGCCCAGAACAGTGCTGGCTGTGTAGCATGCACCCAACAAACATTTGTTGAATTAATGGTAGCAAAAGGCCATGACTAATAGCATGAAGCTGGTACATTAGAAACACATAACACTCCTTGTTCTAATTCCACACTCAGAAAGCAACCTTCAGATTTTGTGAATTATATTCCCACAGAAACAAGAGAATGGATTGATCACACTGATGTGAGTTTCATAGACATGTGACAATCACAATTTTCAATGCAAGGAATAATTTGACAGGCCGGTGGCCACGTCAGTCTTGCAAACCTCTCGGGTAGTGTGAGTCAACTTGGGGTGTGACCACGCCACACATTGAGAAGACAAGCCAGTTTATAGACTTTTCAGTGTGCTCCAGGCAGCCTTCTACTTGTCCCAAGCAGTCTTCCCACTGTCATATATGCTCACATCACTTTTGCCTAATTTTGTACAAAATGACCAAATTTAACTGAGTTTTGCTATAATTTCATTTCAGGTGACCATACTTTCCCCATCAAAAGGAACTTTTATATTTATTCTGAAACCTTCCTTTAAAATTTAATTATGTATTTAGAAATATATAATCTGTGTTAATTTATTATGGTGCTTTTCTTTCCTGTAAACTGGATGATTGTCAGAGTAATTTTAGATGGAAAGGGAGGAAGATGTGTTACAGACTGAGAGGGTGGACCTGTCATAGCCCAGATAGTGTGT